GGCCCTGAATTGTGTTCTTTCCCCACCTCTTTGTAGAGGTTTATAGATTTGCCAACACAGGGCCAATGCCTTCAACTTAATTTTAGAACATGCAATTACACAGCCATGCATGACATCAATCTGAAAGTTTTCAAAAGCATACAATAAGTGGTGAGAATGTTGTATGGCAGTCATAATGTGCAGACAGCAAATTTTTTAAAGCTGATTAAAAGCACAAATTTTAATTTGAAAGAAAAAGAAAAACATGATTACATAAAGCATTTAAAATAAGTTATTGTTCCCACTAGCCTTTAGTTATCACCTTCAAAAAGAGCACAAAAAAAAAATCTGAATCTCCGAGCAGCGAATCAATTACATTTTCTTTTTCTAAACTAGTTTTAGCTGAATCTGACACAAGCAGGACTGATWTCCCACTACTAGAATTTTAAACATGCTTTGATATGCATGAATATGTCTTAACCTTCTGTATAATATTCTTCTGTACCTTTTGCTAAGTGAGCTCATTTGACAGACGTAAAAATTAAAGGAATAAAATTTCATGATTAAAGGGTGTTTCTTAAGTGGATGTGCCACAAGATTTACTAAATAATCTCTTATCTTTACGTGGGATAAGGGAAACTTCATATATCTGCTAAATAAGTGATGAAGTGAAAATTTAACCGGGGCATAGCAATATATATTACAGAAATTATTTATTAAGAATTCATGAAAGTGGAAGGACTTTTTTTACAGGGAAAAGCCAAAAAAAATTACACTTCCAGCTATGGTCCCAATTTCTTTTCCAGTTTAGTCATCCATATAAGGACAAAAAAAAAAGATTTATCTGAGACACAAATATTACAAATGTTCTTTTCTGTAAGAACTAATTCTGTTGTAAAGTGGTGATTTATGTCTCTTTGTTGAAAAATGTGATTTCCTAACGGTTTCCCTTTTTATCATCTAAGAGTTCATATCAGTACATGTTGATCGTTTTTATGAATGCAGACAAAACACAAACCATATGGGGGCATGCCGAAAATTTCCCTTTTCTCTTTATCACATTTTTCCCCGCCCCTGTCTATTCACGAGAGTGCAGAAGTAAGGTAAGAGTTATTTTAGAGGCAACCAAAATGATTAAACCTTATTTGGTCATAAAACTCACACTGCCATGTCCAACAAAAATAACTCCAGTTTGTTGATGTGACTACATTGGGAAACAAGACCACCCACGTAAAGTGAGGACAAACTGGAGCAACTGCTGCTCTAACCCCCCCATTTCAGTTTCCTGATGGGTTGGAGTCAAAGTGACAGACCTGTGTGACATACCCATGATTTCATTTTTTTCAGAACTCTACACAAACTGGTACACTTTGCTTCAAAAAATCCATAAGAACTAGTGCTGTACCAAACGATTATTTTCTAATCGATTAATCTAACGATTATTTTTTCGATTAATCGATTATTCTAACAACAAATCTAAAAGTTATTCTGATGTGAGTGCACTGGATATTTAAAATGTTTTCATCAAATTAACAAGAACAGTTCTTTAATATAGTGGGGAGATCAAGTATTTGATACACTGTTGATTTTTCAGGTTTTCTCACTTGCAAAGCTTGTAGA